CCTGGCCTGGTCAGGACTAGCCATGCTCCCTATAAGCCCAAACACAACCTTCTGGGCACTCCTTCCAGAAAATCAGTGGCTGAGGGCCCCAGCCAAGGCACCCTTGGAAGCACATAACCTACCTGAATCTTTCCAGGCCTGGTACTCTGTAGGAGCTCTGAATCCTCCATCCATAAGGTGAGGCAGTTGCCCCAGGACTTGGGGGCTTCTCTTGAGTCTTACGCAGAGGAGGCAAGAGTCATGAGGGTGTTATCTATGCAAGGCTGCATGCAGTTGGTTACTTGGGCCATGCAGGGTCAGGCGCTGAGGGCCAGGGCTACAAAACGTTGGAGCCCAGGGGAGTCCCTTGCTCACTTTCTTTTTTAGGGATGCTCAGACAGCTGGCCCAGTCTACCAAGGGGGTAGTCTATGGGGCTGGGCATTGACTAGGAGAGTAATCATAGTCCCAAGGTCCTGGAGGTGAGCAGAGACAGGGAGTCTGGGTTGGGCTGGAGGAGCTAGCGGACTATACCATTTGCTATAGTGCTCAGCGGTCCACGCTGAAAGGGTCCAGCTCTGCAGACTGCGCTCAGTGGGCAGACGGGAGAGCTTTATGTACTGGTAAGAGACCTACAGTTATCTGGAGCAGTCCCTCTCCTGCATACACATAGTTGGGCCAGAGAACCTCTGTGCTCACTTGGTCCTGTCAAAAATCACACAGGAAGGCAGCACTACCGTTCTTGTTTGCAGATGAGGCAGATAAAGCTCAGAGAAGGTGAGAAACCTGCCTGAAAAGAGAGGAGCCAGGACACAGCCCAGCCGGCTTGGCTGTGGGACTCACTAAGATGTCATACCCTTACCTGGTGGTCCTGATGAGAGAGGGAAAAGAGCTGAGGGAGGCTCCTGCTCAGCCACTTGAAGCCATAGGACTCTAGTTGATAGAAATAGGATAAATGTCAGGTCCTCTGCCCTGCAGCCCTGTGAGAAGGTGGCCTGGTAGGGCCGCCCTCAGCCGACACTGGCTGTGTAACACATGCGGCTGTTTAAATTTAAATGAACTGAAAGTCAGGAAAATGAATTTCCATCCTCAGGCCACAAGCGACATTTCCAGTTTGTAGCCACTGTGCCATGTGGGGCATGCCAGGCCGAGTGGACACCAGGCTCTGCCACCATCACCGCGGGACCATGACCGTCTAGAGGCAGATGCTTCCCTTGATGCTGGGACCCAAAGGCCAGGCATCTCTGCCCTTTGTCACCCTGGGATCTAAGGTGGGGAACTTGGGAGGGAGGCAGGGGAGCTGGGAGGGTGGGGCCACAAAGGCCAGACTCCTGCCTCCCCACTTCTTGCCCAGAAGTCTGGGATGGTGGTTGTGAGGTGACCACCCCCTGGGAACTACTCTTTCTTGTACTGACCCTGAGGAGGGATGGCCCCAGAAAGCCCCCCTTAGGCCTCAGTCTGTCCCTGGCCTCGGCTGGTGATCCTGGAGATGATGGAAGAATTCTGAGGGGCATCACAGAATCAGAGAAGTTGGACAGTTGCTCCTGGAGGCCCTTGGGGTGTCTTGGCTGCCATTAACCCTGGCTGGCCTAACCATGCAGAGCCTTTTCTGGAGGGTCTGTCGTCGTCTTTCTTTGGGCCCAGGCAGGAACAGAGGCCCTTGGGCAGGGGGACCAAGAAGGTCACAGACTCTGAGTTGGCTGGTGAGTGGGCAGAGACAGAGGTGCTTGTGAAATGCCGGGGGCACACAAGGAGACCAGTGAGGTTTCCTGGAAGGAGAGTCTCAGAGTTCAGAACCTTGTCAATGAGGGAGCTAGGAAAACCCAGCTCTTAGCATCGATTCCTCTGACATCGCCTCTTGGTATTTTCACATTATGGAGGTTTTAAGGCTGAGCTCAGTCTCGGTTAGGTTATGGGGGTTGGGGGCGGGACAGAGCTGGCAGAGGGCAGGGCTTGTACCTGAGTTATAGATTGGCAGCCCTTTGTGACCTGACTGGAAAGCTTACACAAGGCATTATCGTTGTTAGGTGCATAATGGGATCAACACTCAGTATGTCGTGGGATCATGGCTCAGGGTCAGAGTTCAGCTTCGGAACAGGATAAGGACTCCATGCAGCCAGCATCAGGACTCAAGTCTGTGACCAAGGGCAAGGGCTCAGGGTGTGACCAGGATCAGAGTTCAGGTTGTGAGTAGAGTTTCTGGTCAGTGAATTGAATATCATGGTTGAGTCTAACTATGGTTTAGCGTCTGTTTTCAGCCAGGGATGTTGCTTAGAGGGTTACCAAGAGTCTCCTTCTCCCTGGCTATATGAGGAGACTCCTGGCTGGGATCCAGTTATATGAAGCTTGCTTGGTAGGAGACCATCAATTCTAAGCATTCTCAGCAAGGCCCACACCCTTGGAAGAAAATGGATTTGGATACAGAATAGTGCTTAGTGGGTCCAGGCTAGTGTAGGCATTGGGGGAAGAGCTACTGCTTGCAAACTGGTGCCAGATCTCCTGGTCTACAGTCGTAGGACCCTGAAGCAATTTGGCTGGAGGAGTTAATTAAGGTCACTTGTGCCCAGGGGGAAGGGGTTGACAGGGGGATGGATGATGACTGAGGCTGCAGTTGGGTTGGTTCGCAGATGCTTCGGGGAGGCATCCCCTGCCTCTGACATTCCTCTTATCTGCAGAGGAATAGGGGTGCCCAGCTGAGGTCTTACCTTGCACCACCTGGACTCTGGCTTGGAGGCTTGGGTTTTGAGGAATTGCTAAAGGCAGCAGGTCAATGGGGCAAGAATGAGTTCCCACTCAGGGAGAGGAAGGTTAGACCCTTTAGCCCCGCACCCCCCCCCCAGAAGCCCCAGTTTGGGAGGGAAGATCACTTTGCCCTGATGGCACAGTTCAAGAGGGTCTCAGCCTTGCCTGAAGAGTCTCCAGGGCAGATCCCAAATCCCTGCCAGGGAGCTCTGCTGCCCTCCCCCATCAACAAGAAACAAGTGTGGAAAGCGCTTAGATCCTGACTCACAGCCTCACTGCTGCTTAGCAGCCTCTTGGCCTGATGTCAGAGGCCCCCTGGTGACCACAGGCTGCTACTGCAGCGAGAAGACCAAAGCAGGACTAACCTCCAGAGACTGGAAAGTTAAGAGGCCCAGCAAGAATAGACGATGGTCATCTGAGGCCTCCAGGGATAGCACCTCCTTTTTGTGATTTCAGACACCTTAGGAAGAAGGCCCTTTCTCAAGAAGGCTAGGTGGATATGGTACTGATGAATAGGATGAACTGGGAAGGACCTTGTGAGACTTTGGTGTGACCCTGCTATCAGTCCCCCGGGACACCCTACACATCGAGGCCTTGCAGGAGTAACTGGTGTGTATAGAATGACATGTGTAGTGTGCTTGGGAGCCTAATTGGCTTGAGGTGCCCAACACATGTTCACACACACACACACACACACACACACACACACACACACACACACACAGTGGGGTAGGAAGAGTGATGACTCTGACATTGATGGAGGACACTGACCATAAGTTTTGGTGGGGGCTATGGAACAGCGGTGTGAGGGTGTGAGTGCCAACTCCCAGGGGGAGAATGTCGACAGTGAGTTTGTGTTGTGGTCAGTGGCCCTGAGGGAGAGATGCAAACAGCTGGACCAGACTGTGTTCTTGGGTAGCAATGGTATCAGTGGTCTGCTCAGATGGAGAGTGTGGAAAGGTAGTGGATCCTGCACATGACGTCTTGAATTCAGGATGGACCACAAGTTGTGAAACAGGAGCAAGGGGCTGGATGCAGGAGCATCTTGGTGGAGAGGGACACAAGGCAACTTCCCTGACATCAGGGCTCTGGGACTCTTGCTGTCAGTCGAGACTCAGGGGTGTCCAACCTTTCGACTGGAATGTGACGCTGTGGTCTACAAACATGTTGGGTCACATTCATCGCTATCCTGGGATGCATGGAGCTGGTGGGCTGCAGGTTGAACATGTCTGCTAGAGGGACCCCTTGAGGCACCTAATAGAGGAGGAACCAGGGATCTTAGGATGGAAGACAAAACAGCTGAAGAGGCCCATCTCCACCCATTGGATGGAAACTGGCATGCAGGGTCACTTTAAAACCTGCCTCCTTTAGGTTCTATCCCTGGCTGGATCCCCTCCCCTCAGCATCACAGGACAGGAGGTCCTCCCCTAGGTACATCTAGACCCACCAGACCCAAAAGAAGCAGTTCAGCGCCGCACCCCTGTTCTTCTTGGAAGGGCCCCAGTCCCTGCCTCTGACTCCATCTCTTTGCCCATCACTCATCCAACCCACCCACCCACTCATCCACCTATGCATGCATCATCCTTCCATCTGCATGGCCCACCCATCTATGTAGCCCTCCCCCTAGTGCCACCAACCAAATCCACTTTCCCCCCGAGTCCTGCTCACCCTCACCCACCTTCACAATTCCACCGATCCTGACCCTGAAGGTTACCTGTCCATCCACCCTCCCGCCAGCCTGTACCTACATTCACCTGCCTCTTCCACCCACCCGCCTATAGGTCTGTGCACAGCCCCTAACTCTTCTTCCCCATCCATCCGTTTGTTGGTTCATCACCTGTCACCCAGATGCAGCCACTCCCCTGCTCTTGGAAGAGAGCACAGTCCCAACTCTTGGCTTTCCTGCTGCGTGGGGCAGGAGCCGGCTGTCCTAGGTGCGGGCGCCTGTGCGTCGCACCCCTTCTCCGTGATCCCGCTCCCCTCCCCCAACCCGCCCCCCGCTCGCGCTCCCCCTCTAATGTGTGATCTGGAAGCTCTATAAAGCCTGATGTAATCCGTAATGCAGTCTCTGGCTCCCGATTCGGGATCCAGTTTCAGAGAGCGAGAGATTGGGGAGCGCCGGCAGCCGGGCGGGGGAGCAGCTTGCCTCTCTCCTCCTCCTTCCCCGCGTCCTCGGCCTCCTCCTCCTTCTGCCCGCGCCGCCCCGCCCCCGGCTCCGCTCCGCTCCCCCCCCCCCCTCCTCAGGAAGGGGAAAAAAGGCGAGAAGAGCCGGGCAGGCGAGAGGACCGGAGCGGCGGCGCGGCCGGAGAGGGAGCGGCGGGCGCAGGCGGCGGCGGCGGCGGCAGGCGCGGCGTTGGCGGCGGCTCCGACAGAGGGAGCGGAGCGGGCGAGCCAGAGGCACAGGCGTCCGCGCCGCGTCCTAGCCCGGCTCCGGGCCCGCGTGCCCCGCATAGCCTGCAGCCCGGGCATCTAGACCCTCCCGGCGCCCGGGGGGCTCCGCCAGGCAGGGGGTGGGGAGGAGCCTGCGAGCGCCCGCGGGTGCGCTCTTGGGAACGTCTCGGCGGGGCCCGGAGCCGGTCGGGGGCGGCAGCGACAGTAGCCTTGGGTCGGGCGCGCTGCTCGGCCGCTGGCGAGACGGTGCGCTCCGGAGGCTTTGCAAGTCGCTGGATCAAGTCCTCGCCCGCGGGGCCTCTACTGCTGGGGAAGGTAAGAAAGGCTTCAGCGGGGGAGGGGGGACGAGAGGGGGCGTCTCGCGCTCGGAGGGGGTCGGGAGAAGGGTGGCCTCCCGGACTTCCCAACTTCGCTGTTTGGGGCTTCGCAGCACCCAGGTTTGGGCTCAGAGCTCGGGAGTTTGAACAATCCCCCCCCTCCCAGCCCCCTTCCTCCTCCAGCGGCGGCAACGGAATCTGGCAGGTCCCTGCGCGCCCGCATTGGGCGGGCTGAGGAGGGGGCGCCCTGGACGTGGGAGAGGCTTCTTGGTGCTCCTCACCTCCCCCTCATCCTCACCAGGCGGAGCCGGCCCAATCTGGCAGGCTGGGCCGGGAGAGGACCCCCTGCTCTATCACCCCGCACAGACCCGGGGCGCGCTGGGGGAAGGCGTTCCCGTGGCACACCAACACATAGATGCTGACAGGGGTCTAAGGGAGCCCCGCCTGGCTCCCTATGCCGGCCCAAGGAGGCTCGCGAGAGAAAACCCGATGTGTCCCCCATTCCCTGATCTTCCCCAGAGCCGTTACATTATTATAGGGCCCGGTTGCATCTTCCCCCCACGCACAGAGCTGGAGGCGGGCAGAGAAGCCCTCAGACTCCCCCTTACAGCTCTCACCCACAGCCCCGACAATGGCAGAGAGGAGACCCCCCTGAGGCCTATCTCCAAATTCGGGAAAAGGGCTGTCCTCGTGCCCCCACCATCACAACTGACACGCGCAAACGCCCCAGCTCGTTCCCTCCCGGTGTTCTTTTCTGTTTGGTTGGACCGGCGGAGCAGATAGGCTGCCCTGAACTTTAGGTCGGCCCGCTGCCCTCTCCGACTGAAGCAGCAGCGGGGCCGGGCTCCTAGCACTGCCGGTTGCGTTTTTCCAGTGGGCAGAGGCCACCAGCCTCCGCGGCCGCTGCGCTCTTTCCGAGCTGCGTGCCGCTGCCTCGAGGAATGAGCACGGCCCCCGCCCCCTCCTGAGAGGCCGAGGGCTCGGGATCCAGCCGGGAGCCCTTTCCCCTGGTCCTCTGCACAGCCTAAGCAGGGCAGAAAGCATCCCCGACATCCATCGGGAGAGGGGCGGCGTAGCGGATAATCGCCACCAAGCGAGGTGGCTCGAGGGCTGCTCCGAGGCTGCGGCTCTGCTCGGGTCCCTCCGCCTGGCCGCGGTGGCTCCTGCTTGGTCACTCCCAGGCAACCCAGAGAGCTGCACCAGCCTGGCACCCTCTCGGGCCTGTTGGGCACCGTTACCCTTTCCACTTTTATTTTGGGTTTCCAAGTTTCTCGGAGCGCGCGGACCCGGCTAGGGCTAGACTAGCCTTAATCCACTCCTTCAGTGCCCCCTTCCCTCCCCGAAGTCACCATCACGTTCCTCTCCCCTGGGTCTGGGGCGCAGATTCCTTAGCGGCAACTCCGAGGGAGTTGAAAGGCATGAAGGCGCGTGGGTGGGCACGGGGCGCGCACTCCCGCCCCAGAGGAGCCACTTGGCATACGTGTTGGGGAGGGGGTTGGGAGGTCTGCGCGTCTCCTCCACCCTAGGGACCCAAGGAGACCCTCTGTGCCCTGCTCTGTAGCCACAAACACACGCCCCTCGTGAGAGCTACTGCAGGGGCATAAACAGCAGGCGGAGGCGTGGGGAGAAAGGTTGGGGTCTTTTTCATTATCTGAGAGGCGGTATCCCGTCTTTGGGATCCGAGAAAGCAAATGTAACATCTCCCGGAACCTTCAAGCCTTCCATTTCTCTGAGACCCTTCCGGCAGCGGCAGCAACAAGGGAGGTCGAGGAGGTAGCTGCTCCCTTCCGGACCGCGGGTGGCCTCAAAACTCTGCGCTCGGATGCCGCCCGGGTGCCGTAGGGTCTGGCTTTGAGTACCCAAGCAAGGTCAAGCAAGCGAAGGAGGGGGGCAGAGGCTCCTGGGCGCGTCCCCGCGCGCTCAGATTTGGGGCCTTGGAAGGGGGTGTGGGTAGCCGCCGAGTCAGTCCCTCGGGCCCGCCGCCGGCTCCCGGTCCCGAGAGGTGGACATGGCGCGAGTTCGGGGATCCCGGAGCGCCTCGCACCCTGCGCGGGGCCCTGCACCCTCCCTCTCCCCTTGCTCGCAGCTGTTCGGCACTGTCTTCAGACTTGTTGCGCCTCCATCTGGGGACTGGAGACCGGCGGGGTAGCTCCGGAGCCCGGGAGGCCGGGGCAGAGCCCCAAGGCCATGGGATGCGCCGGGGAGACGCGCGGACGCGCGATGCGCCGGGAGCGCTAGCAGGGAGTTTGCTGCCTCGGATCCGAGAGAAGGACGCTTGTCCCCGCCTCGATTCCCGCGCGGGGGCGGAGAGGAGGCGATTTCGTCGCCTTCGGCTTCATACCGCACTCCTATGGACCTTGAGCCGCGGAGGGGCCGCCGCCAAGTTACAGAGCCCTCCCAGACCCTTCCTTTGCTCAGAGGCTCTTGGGCCTCGGTAGCTGAGACCGCGAAATGGGAACGCGCATTATGTTCTTGGAACGCCTGCAGCCCCGACCCCTCGCGCCCATCCAGAGATCCGACGTTCCGGGTCCGCAGTGTGCTGGTTCTGCAGCGTCCAGGCCGGCCGGGTTCCGAGGCGGCTCTGCGCCTGCGGACACAGCGGTTAGGCCAGGGAGCAGCGGGCCCCAAGCAGGGCCCGGCGAGCAGCAGGGGCCTGGGCAGCTTCCTACGGAGTCCTGGTCTCCTGGCTGCCCGCCTGGCCCAGTTCTACCTCCCAGAGCGGGTCTGGGGACGCGGAGTGAGTCCCCGGGGATGCCGCGGGCTCCAGGCCCAGGCGACCGGCGCCGGGCTGCGGTGGTGGAGGGCGGGAGGGCCCGGCGCGCTATCGCGGACGACCAAGAGAGGGCGCCCGCGCTGCGCTGCGCCGCGCCGCGCCGCGCCGGCCCTGCCCGCCCCTTCCGTCTCCTCTGCCGCGGACCCGCGCTCCAGGCCCCATCTTGGGCAACCCCCCGCCGCCCTCTCTTGTCCCTTGGCTCCTGCAGCCAGAGCCAATGACGCATCTGGTGTTTCAGACTGAGCCTGCATCACCCTCTCCCAAACTCACCTGGCCTGTGTGTGCAATGCACAAGCATGACTGTATTTGTGGGCACGTGTACATATGTGCCAGCGGATGCACGTGTGTGGGGGACAATCTACAGGCTGCATGCATATGTGTGCATGCATGCAGCTTTCCACATGTGTGCATGTACTCCCTCTACATGGAAGGGGCTCTAGCACCCTCCCTCCCCAAGCAAGTCTGTACCTGAAGGGTTCTGTGAACCCCACCATGCCTGGAAGTCCACCCTTAACGGCCCTTGTGCCGCCTGGGGTACAGCTGCACCAAGGCATAGAGCTGTGAATTCTGGGTAAACACTGGGCCTGTGCGACCCTGTGCACAGCCCACAGACACACAGAGGAAGTGCTGCACACCAAACACCAGGGTGCCCATTGTACAATCGTGCTGGAAGTATAGGGGTGGGCAAAACCAGCCCCCCACCACCACCACCACCACAAGTGCTTGTGCTAGTGGAAATACAGGACAGGGACCTGGGGGTCCTAGGAGCTGAGGTAGCCCAGAGGTGTAGCTCCTCTGGGAGAGTCCCAGGAGTGTCAGAACTTAAGAGAAAGGAGAAAGAGAGTGATGAGATCAGAAAGATGTGAGAGAATAGCTGTACGAAGGCCTGAGGGTATGAGTGCGGGTATGAGGACTGGACAGAAACCGGGAAGGAAGGTGAGAGAGAGAGAGACAGAACCCAAGAGCGCTATGGGCATTGGCCTGTTCTCTGGAAGGCTAGGAGGCATCTGAGGGCCATAGACAGGATTGATCACCAGGGTTGATAGACATGCCGAAGAGATGGTGGGAAGGCCTTTGCACAGTGGGTCTCAGGGACACCAATCAGGAGACAGAATGCACGCTCTGTTGTTGTATGGGGCTGCCACACCCCTGGCTGCCATGGCACGGGAGTTATAGATAAGCTTGTCACACAGGAGAGTACGTAGGCTGATGTGATCCCAGGTAGCCCACATGCCAGTGTGCAACAGACATACAAATATCCCCCAGAGACACACGGGGTCGGGTGGGGGTTACAAACCCTGTGCCCACTGTGGGCACACTGGGACTCATGTTGGCATGAGTAACATAGTAAGTGGACCGTATTTCACCTGTGCCCGTGTGTGTTGGGGAATGTGCTACGGGGTTCCAGGGACATACTGATGGTTGGAAAGGTCCATGTTCCTTGCTCCCAGAATGCCCAGGCTAGGGAAGAGCATGCCTCTGGCTTCCTGCACCCTCCCTGTCACACAGGCTGTGGCTGTTTGCATTCCACAATCCATACACGCACTCACCCCTGGTGCCCTTCCCTCCCTCCTCACCTTCTGTTCAGCATCAGATGGCATCACATTGGTGCCTGGGTTCTTCATCCCACCCTACCCATCACCCCTACCATCTCATGCCCATGCACAAGTGCCCACCATTGTCCCATGTCACCCCTCAACCCCTTCCCTCAGAATTGTTTGAGGTTCCCAACTTGCCTACCACCTAACTTCTCACCCCCAGGAGGTCTGTGGGTCCATGTTAGGTCAAGAGTGCTGAGGGCCCCCTCAGTCTTGCTACTCAGGGCCGGCAGCTGCAGTCACTGTCTTGAACAAGAACCTACATACAGCTGCTGATCCTCTGAGCCCACTGGTCCTTCCCAGGGACATGTGACATTCTGACTGAGCCAGGTGGATTCTAGGGAACTTAGAGGCAGGGTTGGGCCATAAGAAAAGCCCAAGCAGAGGATGCCAAAGCCATCATGCATATCTTACTCAGCTGCCCATCACTTTGGGGCGGGGGGATTGGCTTTCAGCTGGGACATTGGATTGAAGGGCATGTGGCATGACAGAGTTAGAGGACGGGCCCTTGGGATTCCCCAGGCCATTGTGAGGGCAGCCTGGACTCTCATGGCTGACCTTGACAAGCTTGAATGTGAGGATACTGAGGGAAGAGCACAAACTCCCAGGCCTCCCCACTGGCATCCA